GCCCTAAAAAGTAGTACAAACTACCCAAAATTCGAGGAAAATCGTGAATGTGTTTACAATATTTAGCCCTAAAAAGTAGTACAAACTACCCAAAAAATTCTCACCTGGACGTGCAGCATTACCATTTTTGACGGAATGGCTGTTCCACAATCACACGTCATTGACTGATAAGTGTTCTGCTACCGATTATCAGCATCTGGACATTCAGAATGATGCAGCTTTATCATAACCTTTATGATCATAGACCATTGATAAGCCATTGAATGGGCCATTGATGAGCCATTGAATGGGCCATTGATGGGCCATTGATGGGCCATCGATGGGCCATTGATGGGCCATCGATGGGCCATAGATAGGCCATTGATGGGCCATTGATGGCATGATAACGCTTGGTTATTGCAGTCCTTCAATGAATTTCATCCGATGGCATGCGACTATGTGAAAATATCGATTCACATCAACGTCTGCCATTGGATTAATTGAATCCATGACTTTGTGAATGATTATCATCATGATGATCAGATTCATCACCTTGACAATCTATCGGCTATAATCATGTTTCAGTTAGATCTCGAGGTTTTTTTTTTTTTTTTTTTGTGTTAGATCTCGAGGTTACGTACTATATAGAAGCTTTTTCTAGGCTCTCACCCATCAGATGTCACCGTGAGTAATCCTAATCCAACCGCGGCCATCACGTGCAAGTAACTGTGGTCCCTTTCCGAGTTTAAACTGCATAATGATTGTAAATTGAATGGAAAGGAAATAATATATTTATTATTATATGATGAATTTATTTGAAAATATTCCTGGGGACCTGGGGTCAAAAAAAAAAAAAAGAATTCCTGGGTTCAGACTATGGGCCCGGGCAGTTGGTTGCAGATCTCTCTGCGAAGAAATCCAATCCCGTGTAGTTAAAACTACCAAGGTCCAAGGAATTGGAGCTTGGAGTTTTGTTTCTCAACTTGTCCAAATTCAAAGTTAAACGTTGGGACAGAAAACCCAAACAGCAGATTGTGACGAAAATCGTGCCCCTTTTTCCGGGGCAAAAGAAAGGAAGACCAAACGAAAAGAAAAGAAAAGAAAAAAAAAAGAAAATGATATAGTAATCTAGGGTACCAGAGTGGCCCTGCTGGTCCACTTGCCCGGCCGGGCCAAAAAGAAAAAGAAAAAATTAAAATACTAAATATATATTTAAAAAAAAATATATTTTAAATTTGGTAAAGAACTTCGATGTGACCCTGAGGCAAAACTTGTTCAGTTCATTTTTTTGCATAACAAAAAAAAAATTCGGATTTTTTGGATTTTTTATTTTTATTTTGGCTGAGACCTTCCCTAGACGGCCGGGCCGCCCGGGAAAATAGGATTGCCCGGGCGGCCCGGCTGGTAGCCTAGATAGTAATCATATTATAATGTCAACCAGGGATAAGAGGGTTCATTATCTTTCAGGACACCATGGATGGGAGAGGAAGTATCGTTTAGAAAGCAACATTTAATATACACATTTCATTTGAGTAACTCCGAAGCGGGGAAAGTGTGCCAACCGGTCATTATAGCTGTATTTGAGGCATCTTTCAGTCTAGATACAGCTATAATGACCGTACGTTGTATTCGGGGGAAGAAGGTAGTAAGCAGATTCGAACGGAGAGAGTCAGACAAGAGATGGAGCAAAGGAGGGAGAGTGAAACGGCAAAAGGAGAAAAAGACAGGGGATGTGATGCTCGAGATCCCAATGCATACAAAAGACATCAAATAGGTTACTCGCTTTCAGGCTTTCAGGCTTTCAGCCTTTCACAAGGTACTCGTACTAATCTCATAGCGTTTCGGGGGCTGAGATCATGCATCTCATAGATGTTAAACAGCAAATTGAATGTCGTCCGCCTCGTATGAGATGCAAAGACCGTGACTTCCAACAGGTGAGTTAGCCTCATTGCCAAGTAAATAAACCTCAAGAGACGAAACCCTAAACCCACAACGGCGACAAAGCACATAGAAGAGAAGTCACAGAGAGGAACTGCCATCCAGAGAGGAACTATATTATAATGCAATGTGGCAGTCTGAGAGCGGAAGACTTCAAGGTAGGACCTGGCTCTGACTCATCAGACTCAGACTCGACCCGCACAGATATCATCAACATATCGAATCGGCAAGGAGAGTACCATACATGGAGGAAAGATCCCTCCGTGCACTTACACACGAGGATGCCATGAATGATGGAGTTGGGGAGGAGACGAAGAGGGAAGAAGGGGGAAAAAGACAAGAAATGGTCTCCACCCATCAAATGTCCAGTAATCGTCCCGCCCACAGACTCCCAGAACCTCTAATCAGATCTTTGGTGGTCATAGGCCCGAAATAGTGGCTGAAGGGTCGGAGAAGAATCGGCGTGCAGAAGAAGAAGAAGAAGAAGAAGAAGAAGAAGAAGAAGAAGAACCCTCCACGGGCCTCCAGTGCATAAGGAGGGAGGCAGCTGACTGGACCCGCAGGGGGCTGCTGGCCTGGCCAGCTTACAAAAGACGTGGACGCTTCAACTGCTGACTGCCAGAATTCAACCACGAAGGTTCAGAGTCTAGGTCTAGTACACAACAAACACTTTTCAAGTTTTCACAACTACCTTTGCCCGGCCCCAAGGCCCCCAAGGCCCCCAAGTAGGGTTTGGGGACTATCAAATATCAATTCATGTCATTGTGCTAAAAATGTCCTTGGCTAGCTTGAAACTGATGGTGTACAAAAGTGTGAGCTGTTGCGAATCAAGACTTGAGTTAATGTTACTTGCTATCAATCTGAACTTTGAGCTGTTGCGAATCAAGACTGATCAGCAAATTCATACCATTCCGTAGATTTTAAGGCAAGCCATGCACCCGGCATTGTACGAGTACATCGAGTAGTACACATATTACACGATACGCACCGTTCCGTAAAGCATTGCATACAGTTGGACGAGTCCATCGGGCTCGTAGCGGCTAGGAACGACCATGAAGTCACATCCTGCGACGATCAGATGTGCAAGTCGTCGACTTGACTCTATCATCCCTCGCACTTGCGTAGGAAACTTGCCCTCCAGCTCCTGCACCTGTTTCTCGAAAACCGGCTTTCCCGTACCCTGCTGACAAGACAAGAAGAATCAGAACTGTTACAACAGAGTCGAACAGACACGTTGGCGGTTCAAAATGGGAAAATTAGGGGTCACTTTATTTCCAATGGGATCGTCCGCAACTCAGAATCTGATGCAAATTTAAAGCCGTACTAAGACTAAGTTCACTCATCACACCGAAGGTTTCCCAGTCCAGTAGTTCCGAAGGTCGTGGCATGCATGAAGCCAGCCATTGATTGCTACAATGCCGCAACGTTTCCACTTAAAAGCATTAAATTTGTGCCAGCGCCCCAGGGCCCAGGCCTATTCATCCCCAAATCCCAATCCACAATACGATGACACGTAGAAATCTGATAAATCCTTAGTACAGCTCGACTATCCGGAGTCCGGACGAAAATCAATCTACTCGCTAAGTTTCCAGCTGGCTTCTGCATCTCAGCATGCATCTGCCTCGCGCATTGATTACCTCCTAGCTTTCACCTAGCTTTCACCCGGCGTAACAGCAATGATCCATGCGGTGGGTATGGGGGATCTACCCTAGGACATGTCATTGACACGCCTGGACCATAAGCCCCTTTTCTTGCACCGAGTCACAGACAAACAGGTCATCAGGGGCAAAAGTTTCTATAGGCTGAAGCCGCTGAACAATTCGTTACGCTATCCAAAGTTCCAAACCTCCGAAATGAGACAAGTTTGATATCATTTACGTTGCCAACTCAATTAAGATTTTCAAATATTCAATTAATTGAATGATTTCTATTTTACTTATAATAGAAAATGAAAGTTCAGTATGTATCTTGCCATACACATTCATACCAAATTCAATAAATAATAGTCATTCAATCTATACTCTTCATATCTCTATTTTTAGTCGTAAACGTAATGAACTATTCTTTTCTATAAATCAACATTTTGATCCCTGATTCTCCAATCTGGCTTTTCGTAAGATCTCGTATAAATTCTAATATATATTATATACTCTATCAAATTCTGATTTTGATTTGGTATAAATGGTAATTTTGAGTTGCCAAAAAAGTAAAAAGATACTCTCGATTCTGTAAAAGACTAAAAGATGGTTTAAAGATCAAAATGTTGATTTATCAAAAAGAATAGTTCATTACGGACTCCTCCAGGTCTGTCTATAGTCCCCAACTACAGTCCTTCCTTTCCCGATTTACTCAACTCTCGCTATCGAAAGCGTGGGCGGTTGTGGCCAGCCAGTTGGCACCTAAGCGGAAAGCGCAGGACCAGCAGGAGTTGCAGCTAGTAAGCGGAAAGCGTGGGAACAGGAGTTGCAGCAGGCAATCCGAATAGCAGAACGGAGACCGTTAAACCTGATCAGACAACCAGGGTTGGAAACAGCTAGGACCGAGTTGGGAGATCGGGACAGACGGCAGATACGGGGCTTGCAAAGGAGAGACGGGATTAGAGAATGGGAAGAATAGGAGCGGATGCCGAAATTCCTTTTTCAAAAAATGAAAACCAACGGAAAGAATGCCCTGATAAAGCAACTGGGGGGTCCACGGCGACCAACAACCAGCACGGACGCGCCGCGAAGGGAATGGTATCCGGTAGCTGACACCTTCTATAAAAGCCCCTATTATACTTCAAGCGAATGAGAACACCCAGGGTAGCAGGTGCCAGGTGGAGAACGCAAGATCCAAATTTTTAACCACAATCTCCCTGTTGCAGGCCGCAAAGTCTTGCTTGCTCCTGTGTGTGTTGATTTGTGGCCTGCAACTGTTGAACTTCTCACTGTTTTAGTCCAGTTCATACCACTGGCCTTAGGAGTCTTAGACCAAGTTAGACAGCTGGCACGGTATTAACACCCCTTCTAACTATGATGACATTTGTCCATATTATTTTGGACGATGTGTATTAAAGAAGAACTGGGGCAAAACAGTGTGAGAGAGGAACCGAGTTCACCAGACTTGGGCCCTGGCAAGTGGACCAAGGGAGGGTTCTTATTGGGGCCAGCTACTCTAGCTTTGGAAACTGACATCTTCCCAGCCGGAGTCCGGGAGCCTCGCACAAGGGAGGAACTTTAAGGAGGAAGTGCTTCGCCAACCCCTCTTTTGCAACCCAGGAAGCAGGGATGTACATGGTATACCGCTTAGTACTCCTACCAACTCTTAGCGACTCTTATTGAGTCTTACGGCAAACGACACCAAGTGGGGAACTTGGGTGGAACATGGGGTCTGGCAGATCAAACATCTCTCATACTGGGCAGAAGACAAACACTGTCAAACAGCAATGGAAGATGGCCAGGCAACTCAGAATCTCTCGGAGTGAATTCAACGGGATCAAACATCTCTCATACTGGGCAGAAGACGAACACTGTCAAACAGCAATGGAAGATGGCCAGGCAACTCAGACTCTCTCGGAGTGAATTCAACGGAAGCCACAGGCTCTTGGAAAGCCTGAACGACCTCCTTATATCCATTGATTCCATTCTAGAGGATTGGAGGACATTGCTGCAAAGATTACATTCTAGAGGATTGGAGGACATTCTAGAAGATTTTACAATTTCCAGTCCATTCAATGACATTCCGGTGGAGGACTTGGAAGTGGATCTGGGGGAATGGGCTTGGAACCTCAACAGGGCAAGGCTGCGAGTGGCCAGAAGAGTCAACATCCTGCACTATACTACTCTAATCAGCTACCATCTAATAAGCCGCTCCTGCTTCCTTGCAGCATCCTTAACCAAGCGCCTGTGTTGCCGCACGTTCACTGAACGCGGGTGAACACGATTGATGCATTCACGGAGGATGACCCCCGACTCGGGGATGCAAGGGCGGGCACGGTGGGGTGTGCCCGGGGACCCAGACCTCTCGTGGTGGGGGGAGGGCTTCAGGCGGCGGGAAATGAAAACGAAAACACAGGCCCGCAGGGCGGGAGGGCCGGGAAGGCTGCATTTAAGTCGGTGACACCGTTCCAGATTTCCAGTGGCACTCAACGAGGCCGCCCACGTGTGAGCATCCGTTGACTCCATGGACAGCGTTTACCCGTGCGCGTTTGTGTGTGTGTGTGTGTGTGTGTGTGTGTGTGTGTGTGTGTGTGTGTGT